ATTAGATGCAATTGGTGATTGTAGCAAGGAATATTGGCTCTTTGGATAAGATGGGGTTGTTTCTTTAATCCATGCCCTGCTTTGGGTACCTTTACATACTGCACTTAGGGGTGAGGGAGCAACTGAATAGCACAGAAACACTCTTATAGAGGCACCCAGACCACTTCATCTTATTGAAGTGGTCTGGGTGCAGTGCACCTGTCCTGTCTCAGAGAAACTGTAATGTTTACATTGCAGGGTTAGGACAACCTCCAGTGGCGAAATGCACAGAAATTAACTCTGTGTAATGACGTTGGATGTCCTAACACTTTGCATGAGGACGTCCTGTCGTCAAAATCACCATAGGAAAGCACTGATTGAATGGTATTCAATTGCTTGCTGCACTTGCGCCTTATGTTCTCCCATTGCCGCAATGTTGCTGGAGGAGGAGACCTAGTCAGTGCCAAGGGACCCCAGCGCTGGAAACGCAAAATGAAAAAAGGGTTATTTAACCCCTTAAGGACACATGACATGTCCTGATTCCCTTTTATTCCAGAAGTTTGGTCCTTAAGGGGTTAAATGTCTCCAATAAAAATACACGTTCATTTAAGTTAAATGTTTTCACTGTTATCAACACTTTTTAATGTTTATGTAATAATCTTGTTCCTCTTGTCTCCACAGTTTCTTGACATGTGGTGTTGGAGAAGCTCTGCTCGTCTATTCTGAGAGAACAGGGATTTAAAGGGAATGTGTGGGCGTCATGCTAATATCAGAGCGTCTTCGTATCTCTGTACCTACACCTTCCTTTCTCTAAGACCATGCTGAAATGTCAATTGTGGTTCATCTTTTAAGATTCGCAAGTAAGCCACACCAAACTTTTTCTACCATCAGAGAACGACAGGTGATTAAGGAAAGCAACAGTAATGGAGTTGCCAGAATAACAACTGAAGCAAAGTTCAACATTCCACAGGTTATTAGCTGTGGCTATTGGCCCTGCTCCTGATGTGGTCTTATTCCAAGGAACAAAAAGCTGTATTCTTACACGTTGTGAACTTGCTGTGGCATGCGGTTCTCCAATGCATTCCTTGCCTGTGTTCATGGACTTGTGTATTGTTTGAACCACTGTTGTGTTTAGGAATTAAAGATGGACATACTTTCCCCTGGTCAGAAGAACCAGGAGATCAGGACAGTTGAGTGCCTGTGCAGTTGTAATGATTTTAGCAGGAGTTCAGAAGCTGCTTCACGTATTCATTTCAATTAGAGCATGGGAGTCCCTCTTTGCTACATGTGAAATGCTAAGTCATGGAAGGCAAAATAGCCTAAAACCATCTGAATGCCATCTAACCCAAGTAAGCAAGCGAGGAAAGGGAGCTTTTCAAAGAACTGTTCAAAGAATGTCCATATTCTTTGGATCCTTTGTATATTTTATTATATGTTTGTGTTTATAACAATCAAGTTACTTGTGATTTACACTTGTCTAAAATCACAATCATGCACACCTTGATTTAAATGTAAATTAAAAAAAAAAAATGGAGCAGGGATGGTATGATTGGAGTCAAGATTGCATGGTTACTATATGCAGTCATTATTAGATTAATCAAACAATAATTGGTATAAACAAAATACTAACCAGAATTGGCAGTTTATAGTGACTCTGCCTCCTTATGTGCTTAGCAAGTCAGTTGTCTGGATCACGAGTCATAGTTTATACATGCAAATTAAAAAAAAAAAAACAACTTGCCGCACAAGGCATTATTTTTCAGTGCCAAATGCCATGTTGCTGCACTAGATAATTTCCGTCCATAAACTTGATGATATAATAAACTGTATTTATGACCAGTCATAAGTAAACTCCCTTTATCACCATTCTGCATAAATCAGTGATCTAAGATAAGGAGGTTAATGTGCTGCAATGCCAGTATTTTAGTTGCTAGTTCGCTGTGTGTCTGTTGTTAGAACAAAGTTCTGCTGCGTTCATGTTAGAGAGAACACAAAATCATGGCTGTTTTACAGTAACTGAGATTAAAGATCACTGTATGATATGTACTCCCCATGTGAGTAGTATGGTAAAATAATTCTGCACTTTGTTTACTTGGTGGAGCAAATGTTAAAGGGACACTGTAGTCACCAGAACAACTACAGCTTATTGTATTTCTTCTGGTGTGTATATTCCGTCGCTGCAGGCTTTTTGCATTAAACAGTCTTTATCAGAGAAAATTAAGTGTTTACATTACAGCCTAATAATAACTCCAGTGGCCATTCCTCAGATAGCTGCTAGAGGTGCTTCTTGGGCAGCAGCATGGACATTTAGTGTCTCCACTGTCTGCATGGAGAAAGTGAAATGTCCTCATAGAGATACATCATCAGGAGATGCTGATTGGCCAGGGCGGCGTATGGCTCCATCCCCGACCTGCCTCTTTGGCTCAGATCATCAGAATTGGCAATCTTAGCCAATCCAATGCTTTTCCTATGGGAAAGCATTGTAACTGGCCGACAACATCACTTCTGGTGATGTCAGCCAATGAGGCAGATCCGGGGCAGAGCGAGCATCAGCAGACTGGAATAAAGGTAAGACTTTAATATATTTAGGGGCAAGATAGTATTTTTTCCAACACTACAGGATCATGAAATACATGTTCCTTTAAGTAATTGTTTGATTGAGACAAATCTCATTATGTATGGCGAGTCCAGAATCTTCGAAGGGCCACTTCCAGGTTATATAACTTATAATATTTGTTGGAGGAAGATTAGACCCACTCTTTAACCTCTAACAGTCCTGCTTATCACTATTTGTTTTCCTGTCCCATCTGTTCTCTTTTGGCTTCTCTCCTATTCTGAGTATTTATTTTCCTTTTCTTGCATTCTTTGGTCTACAAGGGTATTTCCAATTAATAACAATGGTTATACGTTTGTTCATTTTCCCCTCTCTACTTTCCTCTTCAATATAGTACACTTTTTAAAGTTTTAAATTAATTTGGTTCCTAAATAGGCCCATCCACAACTAACGTTTAACATTGCACATTAAAGACAATTGATCTGTTCTTGGTTGGAAGGTCCAAGGAGATGTGGGTGCGCTTTGTAACACGTTATGCAGTTTTTTTATGTCTGTCTTTGCAAAGCCCTTCCCCTTAACGTTGCAATGAATGCACATGGTGTCTTTTGGAATTGATTGTAAAATTCAATTAGGGTGAAACTAAGAATAGAATATCCGATATGCATTGAAAATAGTGGGGGGCGGTGTAGAGAAGCATGTGTGTGTAAAGTTTTTCGGGAATTAAAAGGTGTAAATTAATACAATGCTCTCTCCAAACCTAAAGAGGCCAGAACTACAGCTTTATTTTGTGGTTCTGGTGGTTATAGCCTGTCCCTGCAGCCTGAGCACTGTAAACACTGCAGTGTTTAAATTGCTGCCTATTAACACCTCTAGTGGCAGTCACCCAGACGGCCACTAGCGATGCTTCCTAGTCCAGTGCTGTGCAGTGCTGGCATTTAGCATATCCATGCTCTGCCCAGAGAAACAGAACTTTCCCCATAGAGGGGCAGTGTTGCAGCACAGCGTTTTTGCTGCACATGCGCAGTAGCCTAATGCTCTCTTACGGTAAAACATTGGATTGTCTGAGATAATCAAGATTGATCTCAGCCATGGAGGCAGAGCCAGCCGTGGCAAGACCTGCGTGAAAAGTGGCGTAAAACCACCTTTCTACGGAGATCAGTGGGGGCTAGTCACCTAAGCAGCCACTTCAGGACTGTATTGTCTGGAATACAGGTTTGCATTCCTGATACTATAGTGTTCCTTTAAATGTGCATCAATGTGAATGTTATTAACATAGTCCCTTTTACCCGATGTAGCGGTCAAATTTGTATTAATATCACTGTTCCCTGTATAAATCCTACTTGATAACCACAGAAAGGGGAATAGTTTAATATGTAGGCAATGTAATGTCTTAAGACTGCTCCTTGTTTGTACCAGTAATGAGAACTTCAAGAGGAAATCTCATGGACCATGTTAGAAACTTAAACGTAACCACACAATAAATCATGGCAGGTTTAGACTTGACTTGAATCTACTATTTCCTCCAGGAGGCTAGCCAATTCATGAAAGGTCTGTATGAATTTTACAGAGACGGGGAAGATAGATAGCACTTGGCTCATGTTCCGCCTAGTTTTAGAACATTAGACCATATTTCATCAGTTTTATTTTCCAGATGGATATTACAAATTAATTTAAAATACCCTTTATTAAGAAATCATTTTTTTTTTCTTTTATACCTTATTTGTAGAAAGAACTGGAGTCAGTAGGATATATTACATGCTTTCTAAGTTGCATATGATATCTCCTGCTGGGATCTCCAATGCTTTAATAATAAGAATATTTTTATTTCTCAAATAGTGCTTTTCATGTACACTCTATTTATGAAAATGGACAGATTAATGGAGTATGCAGAAATTTTTTTTCACCAATAAACAGTTAGTGCAACCTATGTTATATAGAATAGACATGAGATTTCACTTGTCCTCTTTTTTTCTTCTATATAACTAGAATAAAATGGAAATTATATCTTTAACCATTCTGTAAAATGTCCTTAAACACTTGCAGTGTATGGATGCAGAATTTCTGAAAAGCACCTGTAAAATCTCAGGTGTAAAAAAAAATAAATAAAAGATGCACATTATAGTAGTGCTAGGTTCTAGTCATTAAAAACATATTTTGTAATAATACAAAGGAACATTCCAAGCACCATAACCATAACAGACTGCTGTAGGGATTATGACCGAGGAGAGCCCCAATACGGTCACATGGTAAGATATCCAACCATTTTAGTACAGTGTGACAACTTATCTGGTTCCCAGCGGGCACCCACCGCATCCTATTCTCTCCTACATGGCCCGATGCAGGACACAGCTCAGCTGATGTCCTCAGTGAGTGAGTGGATTCCTTATAAACATCCAAAGGTGTGCACACACACACACACTCACTCACTCTATATGCATACTCTGGTGAATAAATCAAGCATCTAGCCCTGCAGTCTGCATTTACAAACATTTGTGAAAAGAATGGATTGCTCTGAAGCGCTCAGTGAATTCATTCCTGGCACTGTGTTAGGATCCTGCTAGATATTCCACAGGAAGCGTTGAGGAACAGCAGCAACTCCACCACAAAGTGGCAAACCACAGAGCTGGGTCACAGAATGCTGAGGTGCCCACTGCGTAAAAGTCACCAATGCACTATAGCTGAAGAAATCCCAACTTCCACTGGCATTAATATCAGCACAAAAACTACGTGGCAGGAGCTTCAAAGAATGGATTTCCATGGCCAAGCAGCAGCATGCAAGCATCATATCACCCAGTACAATTCCAAGCATTGGATTGAGTGGCGTAACGCACGCCTGTAGCGGACCACGGGTAACCCGACTGGTTACCTTAGTTAATTCCTTCCTCCAGCAACTCCTTGAGCGGTGTAATTCATTCATCCTTTTGGTTACTGAATGTTGGTTCCATTCAGCTGGGAAGTATCATCCCACTCCTGCCACCAGATGTAGCGGACCACGGGTAACCAGACTGGTTACGTCCGCTAGTTCCTTCCTACAGCCACTCTGGAACCATTAACACAAGCAGACATCCATTCCCCCAGTAACCAGACGGAACATAGTTCTGGGAGTCAGCTGAGCTTATTCGGACCCCACATGGCTTTTATGCCTAGTCCCCTACATGGGGTTTACAGTACCATAAAATGGGTTTCAATCCCGGGATCCTCTATGCCTGAGAGAAAAACTAAAATCTAATTTAATTATCTCTCAGGTACAAAAAATCCATACAAAATATACAGTACCCCCAAAAGTGTCCCCACCATACTCAGGAACCCCACAAAAATTCTACATTGTACAATAGCCCCGATCCAAAGAATTCAGAAGGCTCTTTATTTGGCTCTAAAGTGTGAGTGGTCAGTTGGCACCTAAATATACACCATATTGGGTTACAGTGTTGCACTACGTTGTATCATTCTTGTCTCTCCTAGCTGGACAAACCCTACATATTGCTATGTTGGCTAATGTAGCACTCTTTGTTAAACGACACACGGAATTACAATGATTTCATTTTATCTTTAGGTTTCCGCTTTTATTGCCATCTCATCCAATGCAGAGATTTGAGCAATAAGACTTCAGAGGCACGAAAACTGCTTAATTAAGCGAACATTGTTTTGGAGACTATAATATCCTTTTTAAATTAAGAATAGCTGGGGGAGATTGCCAGCAATGATGGTCTTGTTTTTACCAGAAAAACAGTGTTAAACATTACAGGACCTTTTGCTGCCAGGTATGTTTTGGGACCTGGGAATTTCCACTACTTTACAGACACATAGCCACACTTTTTTTCAGCATTTCTAATCACAATTTGATGATTTTGGAGGCAGACATGCTGGTAGTGGGTGAGCTTCCTACAGAAAAGACACACTGAATGTAAATAGGGAGCAGGAACTGGTTAAAAATGGTGTACAAATGGAATGTGCTATGGTCATGATATCCCTAAAAGCACCAGGACAGACATACATCCTTGATATTTGTCCATGAGGAATTCAAATACATATTCCATTGGGGAGGGACAAATCAATCACAGTAGTTTTACATATTTTGTTTTATTTAACCAGTAAACAGTGGTTTAACGGACATTACAATTTGAGTGAATTTTTTTTTTTTTCCTAAGGTCTAATTTTTGCCTTGGAGCAGTGATGGATAGTGATGGGATTAATTCTTCCTATCTCTGAAACAGATTTATAATACACAGTAAAGCATCAGTCAATGTTCTTCTGACCATCCATCAATGGCTATTCTGGTCCAAAGGAGAACCCAGCTACAGGTTGCATAACAGATATGCAGGGTTCATAATTAAAATACTTTTAATCAATCACATCATAAAATGATCAATCAGCCTTTACCAATACTTGTCATTAGGCTAGAATTACAACAATTGTCAGATGTCTCCCAGGAACCAATTTCAGCAAGGAATGGACAATATTAACAATTAAGATCATTAAACTTTTGCAAGCTTATCTCCGATGTCAAAGCACCAGCTGACACGCAAAGCAATGTAAATCACAATTTGTAGCCATTTCAGAAGAGAACATACAAAAATAACACTTTGAGAGAAAATGCATATAAATTAGAGCCCCAAACATATTCTACTAACATGTCATTAAAGGTACCTATGCTTTAAAAAAACCAAAAAAAAAAAAACAACCCTCTTTAACATGTTTGAAGGATGCAGCACCATTTCTGGTACATTAAAGGTAAAGCATTCAGATTTTCAGTTTTACAGTGAGAGTGAACCTTTGGTCTAAATTTGTTTCGATATTGATAAATTCAGATTTTTTTTTTTTTTTTAATGGTTGAGCAATTTTTACAGTTTGGAATCTATGATCTGTTGCACCATATGAAGCTCTGATCAATGATTCTGAGCCCTGGACTAGTGAGGGTTGCATATACATCCACAGAACATGGCAAAAAAAAAATGGGCAAGTGGCTATTTCTACAAACGCGTATTCTAACACCATCATACCCTATTAACCGTTTAGGTGACTGGGTCTCCGTTGCCAGGGTTAAAAAGGTAAGTTTTACTTCTCTTTTCTCCCTTACTGATGATCTGAGTGACAGCCTATAGAAGCAGATTAACCCTGCATTGAATACATTGCCATTCCTGCAGAATGCCAGTAATTTCAGCTGCAGGGTTAAAACGGGGGAGACATGACACCCAGACCACATCATTGAGATGGAATTCATTTAAATAATGCCATGCTGCCTCTGAGGAACTATATATGAATGTCTTGAGTGTTATTTAAAATAATTGGTCTACAGATACCCCTGCTGGGTGGAGTGAGCTAGCTTTCTGCATTCAGAGTGTATTAATAGCAACTTAACTACTCTGGCCTATAGTCTTCACCCACAGGAAAATGTGTTACAAATAAAAAAAGTAATCACAAATCAGAAAGCCAACCAAAAAGTTAAGCTTGTGCGTTGTATAATAATATTACAGAATGAGTGCTGAATATTATAGGGTCAGTGGGGATTGTATTACTAATACAATTCGAAGACATTGCAAAACCATTTAAAAACCGCCCTTTTAAATTTATTGATAAGCCCTTTCCCATGGGGGAGAGAAGGGAGTGCTGCAGGTTGTTGCACTCTATAAACTTTGTCATCCCTTGTGAGGTCACTTCCAATTAAAGTAAAGAAACATGGACCTTTTAATTTCCAAATTAATAAAAAAAAAAAAAAAATTATGGTTCCAGGAGTGCCCTGTCAGGGTAAAAAGTCAAACAGTTTGAGAATAGGTTGCCAACTTACCAGTCTGCTGGCCTCCCGCTGCCGTTTCCCCTCCAGCTGAAAGCTCCTCTACTGAGCTAAGCCTGCCAGTGCAAGCTCCGCTGACACTCTCAGCCAATGACGCAGCATTTTCAAACGGTTTGACTACATACCTTGCGATGGCACCATAATCACTACACAGTGATGTAATGATTATGGTGTTTGAATTGTTTCTTTAAACATGTACTCACTTTTTAACACTCATGTTAACATAATTAGGGTTATTCAATAAACCAGAATTTGACAACAGAATATTTAATTTGAGGACCTAATAGGCAAGCTGAAAAAAAAAACAACAAAACCCCCCCCCACAGACTTCCAAGTTGTCCAATTAAGCCACTAATTTAAAGTTCCCCGTCAACTCTGTTTAGTGAATATCCCTGTGTAAATTCCACTGTACAATTGAACTGATAGAGCACTATTACCAAAACAAACCTGCAGTTAGCAGCCATCCTTCTTTATAACAGTAAACAAAGTAGCTTTTAAGGTAGACTATTTCAAAGTGGTGTATACATTGGCAGATTCTCCGTAACATTTTAGGGCATATTTAAACATGTTACAAAAACAACATGAACATGAAGAGAGCAAGATGGCTAATTGTATGGCAGCGAAGAATGGGTAAAGTGTAAGTACCTCTTTCACCTCATATTCACATTTACAACTTGAAAGCAAGATGTAGTATGAATGCTCGCATGGGTCAAGTGATTCTGAAACGGGAGTTATTTAATGTATGTTTCTACACATAACCGTACCCCTGCCAAGAGAGAGAACCAAAAACATGTCACATCTAAAAGTAACCTTTGGTCCTTAAGGGATTCATTAATGAACTTCAATTTGTATTTACTGTCCAAATTTGTCCAGAGTAAAAAAAAAATATATATTTATATATTTTTTTCTAAATCACTCTAGTAGATGTACTCCATGGGATGCATGTCGTCATTGGAAGTAGATCTAAAGAGAGCTTGCCAAAGTTTCAGTTCCTACGACTGCAGACCTAAGACGGCCAGTCTCTTCACTGGGAAATAACCAGAGGATTCTCTTTGAGAAGCCTCTAAATCAGTGCCTTCTGTGTGCACATGCGTCTGATCTGAAGGTATGAGGTCTGTGAGGAGGAATTAGGAAGAAGACAGACGTACTCAACAAGAGTGCGCCTGTCACTTCCGTTTGATCAGGAGACAGAATGAGAAAACAAACCTCTCTGACTGTCTGATTGACAGACAGACAGACAGGGGTTTCATAAATGTAATAATGTTCTCATTGAAAACTGCACTTTTATACACTGGAATTATAATAGGATACTCCTCACCCATAATGTATTTCAAACTGAAGTGCTTCATGACTGTGGCTTTGGTTCTTAAAATTTGTAGCAAAGGGGCACTGCCATTTAGAAATGGATGGATAAACGATATACATGGAAATCTCCCTCCTCTCTCTCACTCTTCAGAAGAGCATGCATAGCATTTGGAGCTCTTGCATCACTTCCTGGCAGCCATCTTGCAAGAGGCCATAGTAACATTTAAGTATAATTTTCTTTGCATTGATATTGCCAGTACAAAATACATCTGAAATGGCCTACAGGAATCTTGTCTCCTATATCGTAACAGAATGTCTCAATCGTTTAGTTACAGCAAGGTAGTACTCAGCTAGACTGTGATGACCGCATGTAGTATGCATGAAAATATCACATTTTGTAACAAATTAAAATGCACTCCTTAGGGTCTATTCACTAAATACGGAATTATAGAAAATCAAAATCAGAATTGCAAACTTCAAACAAGACCAATTGATTTGTCATAGTAACAGATTTGCTATTTTGCAATTCAGATTTCAGTTCACCATTATTCAGGTTTGGTAAATATACCGAAAAATGCAATAATCTTTATCACTTTCTTTATATAGTGCATAAACAGGGCAACACCCTTACAACCTGCAGTGGGTAATTTAATTACAAAATTAGCTTTTTTTCCCCCTTTTATATTCGTAATAAAATATAACTTTAAATTAATAATGTTTACCAAAATATTCAAAATGAAATAATTATTTGTATGCCAGGATAGCTGCTTAGTATGTTTATAATACTATCATTTTAAATATTCTCTTATCTTGCAAAAGGATCTTCCAAACATGTAAAATATAAAGAGACACAAAGTAAAATCTTTTTAATCCAATAAATCTCCAAATTATACTGTATTATCCACGTGTATACATTATACAATTTGAGGAGATTCCAAAGACTGAATGCTGCTTTTGTGCCCAGTGAATCATTAAAATAACCTGTGATTGTGAATTCTTCTAAAGGTAATGGAGGTAATGGTGTTATGGAAATATTTTTACTCACCAAGTGATCCTTCAGGCAAACAGGAAATATAATTTGCTTTTTATTTAAAGAAT